GCTGGCGACTTGCCCATAGTCCCTAGAGGGGTACTGGCCTTGTTCTCAGGGTTCTCCAGCCCAGGATCACCCTCTCCAACACTCTGTCTCTCTTTCCCCATCACCTGGTCCTCACCTTGCCCTTGGATCTGTAAGGGAAGAACCCTCATACTGACTGGCTATAGGCTTTTGAACTGTATGAACTGAAAAGACCCACATTTACTTCCCTGGGCTTCCGAAGGGGAGTCTGAGAGCTGAATCCAGGTTCTGAGTCCGGAGTGTGTTTTGAGGAGGAAGGGAGGGGTGTGTGTAGGGTTTGGGTGTTACATGGATCCGGGCAGACAGTGTCTAGCACTTAGAAACGGCCCCAGAGGGCTTTGATGGCTCAGAGGCCCTGCTCAACTTCCCCGGGTGGGGGGGTGCGGGTGATTGATTCATCTGGGCCTTTGCCGGGTGACCCTGCTCTGAGAAGCCTCTGGATGCCTTTGTCTGTCTCCTCAAGCCCCTCACCCCCTGCCTTGGGCTCCTGAACCCCAGCCCCTCCCTGCCACCCTCCCACTCCACCACCAGCTCACCACTCCCCCCACCGCCCCAATTCTAACACAAAAGACAACTTTGTCTTTCAAGTCAGCAGCCATAAATCCATGTCTCTCCCCTCCCTCCCAGCAGCCACCTCTGACAAATGGGGGCCTGGATGGGGAAGAGGTGGGAGGCAGTGGTGGGGGAGCTGGCCTTGGCTTGGGAAAGTCCCTGTATCCAGCTGTTGGCCCACGGCAGAACTGGGTAGCCTCGAACCTTTATGGCCTGATCTTTGATTCCAATGGACTGTAAGGCCCGATGCAGGGCTGCAGGGAAGGCAATCTGGGACTCTCTGCAGTCCCTGGGTTGGGCTTTTACAACCCAAGGAAAATAAAACCTCTCAAAGCCCTACTTTTAATTACTCAGCCGGTAATTGGGAGGCTCCAGTTCTTCCTCCAGATCAAGCCATGAGCTCCTCCCCCTGCAGCCTCCAGTCTGCAGCCCAGTGTATAAAGTGTGCTCCGGGGAGTCTGCCTGAGGGACTCGGGCCTGCCAGCCTGCTTAAGCGAGGGATTGGATGTGCCACTGGGTGGGTGTGCCCCACTGGTTTCAGTGGTGGCCTCTAGCCCATTCCGGGAACAGGAAACAGAGAGAAGCCTACCTACCCCATGTGACTGCCCTACCCACCCCACTGACAGCTTTGCAAAAGCAGTAACCATTTCAAAATATTTGTTTTCATCCCAGGTATCAGACAAGGAGTGAGAAGATGTGTCCGGGTTTTCAGTTGGGGAAATGCGGTCCTCTCTCCTATTTACACAGCAGACTCACTGAGTCGGCTCCAGGCCCTCATTCGACGGATAGTGACTGACCGCTAGTGCGTCGGGCAAGATGTTACGGCCCCCCGAGAGCGACTTCTCTCCATCTCACAAGCCCTGTCCTTAGTGTTCCCACTCAAGCTCTTAAGAAATGTCAGAAGAGCCCTGGCTGGTGTGGCTCAGTGGCTCAAGCTCCGGCCTGCCAACCAAAAGGTCCCCAGTTCAATTCCCAGTCAGGGCACATGCCTGGGTGGCGGGCCAGGTCCCCAATTGGGGGCGTGAGAGAAGCAAACTGATCAATATTTCTCTCACACATTGCTGTTTCTCTCCCTTTCTCCCTCCCTTTCTCTCTCTCTAAAAAGAAATAAAATCTTTTTTAAAAAAGAAAGAAATGTCAGAAGAGGGGGTGGAGATATAAGGGGGCTACATGGTAATGGAAAAAAATGCACACACACAAGAAAGGAAGGACAAGGCAGGAATGTCAGAAGGGCAAAAGCACCAAGGTCAGGGTCTTAGGTCTGCACTAACTTGCAGGAGCCATTGATTAATCAGTATACTTCTGGTAAGTAGGGATTACTAGCCCTTCTCAGGCTCAGAGAGGTTAAGTAACTTGCACACAGCTAGTCACACAGCTAGTTAATGGTGTTAAGGTGGGCATTTGAACTTAGAGTGCTCTCCAAATCCAGTGTTTTTTTTCCCTGCACCACAGCTGCCCTGGGAAGTGGGGGAGACAAACGCTGCACAAACGTCATCGATAACACCTAAGGACGTTCACACTGAGAAACACGGAGGCACACAATATCCTAGACCCTTATAAACACCACGCCTACTCACATTCAGGTACCCATGACACAGCAGGTTTCACTTTAATTGAACTCCCCCAGGGCCTGGGGTAGGTTTCATAGTGTAACTAAGGCAGATAAGCACCAGGATAAGGTGGTGTTATCACCCCACTAGCAGGCCACTGAGCCAGGCACGCTTCCTAAATTCTGTCAACACAGGTGAGTAAGTAACAAAGACCATTAGCCAAGGGCACTCTTCCCTGAGCACTTCCAACTTGGCAATTCAGGAAGTTCAAGCTATGGGGCTACTCCTCTTGGGGCCTTATAAAAGAAAGAAGCAATTTATTTTCCTGCTTTTGGTGGGGAGGGTAAAGCATTGTGAGATGCTAGTGGCTTCTGTGGAGTGAGCTGGGGGGAGGAGGTGATGAATTGCTAAAGGAAGGAGTAATCAGGGAACTGATTTAGTCCTTTTAATAACTGGATGTGTGATTTTTTAAATTTATTTTTATTTTTTAAGTTGAGGTATAATTGGCATACTTTGTTCATTTCAGGGGTACAACATAATGATTTGACACTTGTATAGAATGTAAAATAATCACCACAATGTGTCAACATCCATCACTACAAACACAGTTATGAATTGTTTTTTTCTTGTAACGAGAACTTTCAAGATCCTTTCCCTTAGCAAATTTCAAAACTGCACTACAATATTATTAACTACAGTTGCCATGCTGTACATTACATCCCCGGGATGCTATGAGCTTATTTTTAGATTCCACATATGAGTGAATAGAATTTGTCTTTCTCTGACTCATTTCACTTAGCATAATACTTTCGAGGTCATTCGAATTGTTGCAAATCTGGATGTGTGATCTTGATAAAGCCAAAGCTCCTCTCCCCGCCTCTCCTTCCTTCTCTGGAAAATGGGGGAGTTGAGTTGGACAAGTGATAAAGTCTCCCCCAGTTGCAGCCTTTGAGGCACATCTGCGTCCAAGCGCCAGCCGAGGGTGCAGGGTCAGGGGCTGGGAACGGACTGGGGAATCACTCTCTGCCTTAGACTTGAAAATGTCCAGGCCCAGCAGAGCCCCTCTCCACAGACTGCCTGTCTCCGCCCGTGTCAGGGTCACCAATCTTCCTTATGTAAACCTGCCCAGTCCCACAACATCCTTAACTTCCGTCGTTCTGGTCAGGACACCGGATCTCCCTCACCTCCCGGAAGGGCCTCTGGTTAGGGGGCTCAGGCTGGAGCTATTAAGTAAATTGCTTTCACATGACCATGAGGTTTACTCAACAAAAACAGATACTTCCCCCAAATTTCCAGAGCCATACACAGTATTAGGGTTTGTAAGGACTAATATAGTAGGGGTTAGGTTGTGCAGAGGCAACCTGGGGTCATGCTGGCCTCTATCACAGACTCCTACATGACCCTTTAATTCCAATCTGTGAAACGGGAGTGGGGCAGAACAGACAGAATCATATCTAAGGCCCATCCCAACATTACGACTCTAAGATAACACCGGGTAAAATGGTCCCTCTCCACCCATCAGAGGACCTCTCCTGTTCTTGAACCTCGATCCGGCGCTGCGCTCCTGTTCATGGCTGTGCAGTCTCTGATGACTCAACACCAACCCACAAAAGAGTAGGGCCCGAAGTTCCTCTACCCCAACACCACTCCAGGATAAGCTTTATCTTGCTGGGAGAGATGGGGCCCTACACTCCACGGCAGGATCAGGGAGCCTCCAGGGGCCACCGCCCCATCCTCTCCCTTTACCTCTCCCACAACAGCTGACTGGTCACCGAAACCCAGTCTACCCTCCCTTTTCCATTCCATTGCCTTGGCTTAGGTTCGTATCCCTCTTAACTATTACTCTTTCTGTAACAGCTTCCCCTTTCTAGCCTTCTAGATCTCTTTCCTCCTTTCTCCAGCTTAAACCCATAATCATGTTCCGGAACACCCACTACATTCATTAAACATCTTCGGTGGTTCTCCATTGCCTTGAATCAAGGTACTCTCCTTGGGATGACATCTAAGGTCTCAGTTATTAGGTCCTGCTTCATCTTTCTGCCTGAACTGCCAGCCAGTCCTCTCTCTGTGGGAACTGTCCTCTGACCGTGTGACATAAGTTTGCCTTCTCTGGACATGACATTGACGTTCATGCTTGTATTTCTTCTGCTGTTCCCTCTGCCTGAGGGTTTCTGCCTGAAACTCTTTTGCTTCTTTCTGTGAGCACCTTCATCCTCCACATTGCCCAGAGGAGGCAGAGTGAACTCCTGCCTGGAACGTGTGGTCTCTTACTTCTGTCCTAGCATTATCAGACTGTGTTAGTCAGTTGTTCACAGGTCAATCCTTCCATTAGCCCTTAGGGGCAGAGAAGAGCCTAATTTACTTTTCTACTTTCCAGCACCTAGAACAAATAAGTAATAAGGTAAATAAGAAGTCCTCACAAAGTATTTCCTGAATTATGATGACCTTAAAGGTCACATAATCTCCGGGTGGGGGGCCATCTCTTCCACCCTATCCTGACACAATTCAATGTCTACCATTGGGTAAGTTACGTCCTCCACCTGGGTCTCCACTTCAATAAAACAAAGGAGTTGGACTAGGCTCCCCCATCAGCAAGCCTGGCTGCACCTCAGAAGAACCCAGGGAGCGGCGAGGCAGTGCAGCTGGACTCCACTGCCAGAGAGTCAGATCTCATGGTCTGGTGTGGTGCTCGGGAATCTCTGTTCCAATCAGAGCTCCGGGTGTGTACCATATGCATAATCGGGGCTGGGAACCCCTGTTCCGTCAGGTTCTTGAGATTCCTCATCGAGGGCTCCAGCGTCAGAACAGGGCAGGCTCTGCGCCCGGCGCTCGCGCCCTGCGGGAGGCCGGCTGGCCCAGGCAGCCAGACCGCCGGGGCAGAGGCGCGGAGCGGGCCGCGCGGCGGGCGAGGCGCCTGCGGGCGGGAGCGCAGCCCCCGCGGGGCCCCAGTTCAGGCATTCGGACGGCGGGCGGGGTCGGGGCCCGGAGCCTGAGGCCCTGAGAGCCGCTCGCTCGGCGGCAGGAGTAAGTGGGACCATCTGCTCCGCTCCTCCGAGGTCAGCGCTTTGTGTCAAGCTCCCATCCCCCTGGCTCCTCCCGCTCCTTCCCCTCCTTGCCCTTTGACTCCCGGGACTCAAAAGAAAAAAAGCACTTGAGGTCCTGATGAAAGTGGGAGTGTGATGGGGGGCGACAGCGGCCGCGGGAGCTCGGGCCGAGCAGCCGGGGACAGCGGCGGGCGGCGGCGGGCCGGGCAGGACCGGCGGGTCCCCTCCGCGGCGGCCCGGCTCCGCGACGGCGGGGCGGCCCCGGGGCGGGGGTGGCGGGCAGCGCGGGTTCCCACAGCCGGCCCGCCCGCCCGGCCCCTTTGAAGTGGCCGCAGCTGCGCACCCCGGCCCGCGGCTAATCCCCCCGACGCGGGCGTCCTCGCCCCCCCGCATAGCAATAGTGTCCGCGCTGAATGGCGCTGGCTAATTACCTCGCTCGCACCGCCGCGGGTGAATGAGAGAATCCGGCATTGTGCGCGGCGAATGGAGAAAATAAGACAGCCATTGTCCTCGCACGCCAAACGAGGGTTTGATGTCGCTGGGGCGAGCGAGGCACCATTTCCCGCCACCCCCTCCCCTTCCCAGCGGTGCAAATTCCCCAGCTGGGCCTGGCCGATCGGACTAGGCTGCGGCCCCGGGGAAACTGAGGAAGGGGCGCCGGTTTCCTTCCGTGCAAGACGGGCGGGCAGACACACAACCGCTCTCCCACCCCCACCACCGGGCTCCTCACCAGGCTTTCTCCAACAGCAGGTTCTTAGGGACACCTACTGAGCCCGCCCAGTGCTGTCCTGGACTCAGAAAAACAGGCATGGCCCTGCATTCAGCAGACTAATTAGATTTCGTTCTGAACACATGAAACAAACGGGTGGAGTTGGGAATTTCATACCTCGGTGCCCAACTGCGTGCCGCCGCCAACCGAAAGGGCTGGAGAAGTTCAAAGAATGGCTGGGAGAGATTTGAGCAGAGAAGGCAGGAGAGAAAGACTCAGAAAAGAAGGGGAAGGAAGGTGGGGCGTTGTGGGGAGCCTGGACTGAGGGAGGGACTGGAGCACTCAGGAAGGAAGAGGGCCATGACTGGAAAGGGGGACCCACGTTTCAGAGGAACTGTAAGGTGGTGTCAGGCTGGGATGCAATGCTCAGAGCTCGGAGGCCACCGATTTGATCCGGGAAGAGCGGTGGCTGATAGGTAGGGCTGGGGTTCCATGGACCCTGGCTCACTGTCAGAAAGGGGACTAGCCCGGTGCACGTCACCCTTTTCACACGTAAGGATGTGAAAGAGCTCAGCTTAGAAAGCAGGCCTGAAGAAAACCACACTGCACAGGGACAAGCTGATTCTGGGCTCTCTCGAGCTGCCTTCTCTTCACCACCACCCAATAAGCTCGGTTTTTCCTTGGGGGCGGGGGAGGAGAAGGAGATGACATCCTTCAAGATCACAAGTGTCTCATTTTGCTGTTCCTCAGAGCAGTTAGCTTAGAGGAAGGTAGGTACAGGATAGATGTTCTTGGAGACTGGTGTATTTGAGAACTGACCTGCTTTAATATCCCTCAATCCCACATAGCCTTTTCCCGGAAACACGTGCTTTCTACTCCCTTCTGATGGGCCCTTAGACCATTTCTGCACAAAGAAGAATGCAATACACGCGGGTTATCCAATGGTAAAATGTCTGGTATGCTGCTCAGACCAACATTAGGCCACTGGTCAGAGCCAGCAGCCCTCAGGGACACCACACCTGTGATGCGGATCACAGAGCTCTTTCTGAGGCGACAGTCCTTTCCAACGCCCATGTCACCACAGCTGGACCACAAACCCTCTGTGGGCTGCCCATAGCCAGGCTCATAAACGAGACTATCCATCTACCCATCCATCCATCCATCCACTTATTTAAGAACAAAACTAAAGAATGGACAACAATGTTGAGCGACTGAGTGACCAGCAGCCAAAACTGTTCCTCGCTCTGCCCCACCAACCATATTTAACATCACCAGGCACTAGTTGTAAGAGCGATAGATGAGAAGCGTGATTTCACGTTTTTTAAAAGATTTTATTTATTTTTAGAGAGAGGGAAAGGAGGGAGAAAAAGAAGGTAAGAAACATCAGTGTGTGGTTGCCTCTCACTCCCCGCCCCCAAACCCTGCCAGCAACCCAGGCATGTGCCCTGACTGGGAATCGAACCAGTAACCCTTGGTCTGCAGGCCAGTACTCAATCCACTGAGCCATACCAACCAGGGTGAGAAGCATGATTTTAAAGAAGAAAAAAATGTAAGTATAGCTCTTTGGTTTTTTGATCCAATCTTGAATCAACCCTGGTCATAACCAGATGTGATCCATAATGTTTTTCTTTATAATTCTCCTAAATCTTCATCTTAGCATCATATTTCTTCTGCCTAAGGCTCTGGCTGACATCACAGCACCTGCTGCTGCTGAAGTACTACTCTACCCAGGCCAATCAGCCTAGTTAACTGATCTGCTCTGTTGGTTGGTTTAGAAACATCCGGAACAAAACAAAAAGAAAAAGCAGAACTGCTGAGGATGGGAGAGATGTGGGAGGCCTGGAACCCCACCAATCTAGCCTCCCCTTTCCCCCATTTCCAGCCCTTGAGCTCCCTCCACAGACTCAAGGACCCTGAGGAACAATGCTTAAAGTCTCCTGTTCTAGAAAAATAATATTACCCAAAGAAACAATGGCTAGTTGGCAGATCAGAGTTCCTTCTAATGCTATACAGACCACTAGCTTCATTTCACAAGACCAAAATGACCATTCAGGTTCTGGCTGGGTAGCTCAGTTGGTTAGAGCATCACCCTCCCCACCCTGGCCCGTATGCCAAGGTTGCAGATTCTACCCCCAATCAGGGCACACACAGGAATCAAGCAATGAATTTATAAATAAGTGGAAAAACAAATCAATGTCTCGCTCCAAAATCAATAAATAAATAAAATGACCATTCAAACAGGAACTACAAATATAATTGTTACTATCTATTACTCTATGTGTCTCTATGGTTTGCCCAGATTTCAGCAAGAGTACCTGAATGTCTAATCTCCAGATAAATTGTACTTTGGAAAATGATCCCCTATTCAAAAAGCAAGAGCAGCCTCCAGGACTAAATTAGAGACCCAATACTTTTAACTGAAAAAGTGCTTTCAAAGGAAGCCTATTTCCGCTCACATCTCTTCTTTCTCCAAACCCAAGACCATAAGTAACTTTAAAAATAATGCTCTGTGGGGGAGTATTCCGATAGGAAGATAATGAGTATAATAATGAGAGTGTGTTTTCCTCTCCCTTTCCCATTTCCACAGCGACCTGCATTCACAGGATGCTTTGTTACCCAGTTCTGACTTTCCAAGATAACAGAAAGGTGGGCATGTGTGTGCAAGGCTAGTGCTTCCGAAGAGGATGCACGAGTACTGGAGGGCGGAGGGATGCTTCTTAGCATGGAACCTGGCCTATCAGCTCTTTGGTGGGTAAGGCCCGTGGTCTGGCATTCTGGGACTTTCACCAGCTTGCCTGGGAAGGTGTCCCACCCTGAGGTGACTAATTACCAGTAACCACCCTCCTGGGGTGGCAAGACTGAGGTCTGAACTCACCAGGCCAAGTCCTTCCCACTTAGCACTGAATCATTGCCTTCCACTCAGTCTAACCCCTCTCCTCCCTGAGGTGGCCCTTGGAAGAAGGGTGTTTCAAAGGAACAGAACAGGAAGATAGGGGTGCCTTTTAATACCAGGATGCTGTGGGATAGGAGACTTAGGGCACAGATGCACACATGCCCGTTCTCGGCTCCTGACATAGGGACTCAGGAGCCTGGGAGAATGGCTAGGTGAAACCACCCTGTAGGCCCTTGGGGAGTAGTATCTGACTCAACTATCAGCCCTCCCCCCAGCCCCAGGCTGTTAGCTCCAGGGGGTGAGGGACGCACAGCAAGCAGGAGGTGTTTACATACCCATGGCTCCCCATTCTCTCACCCTCTCCAGGTACAACTCCAAGCCAAGTCCCACCCTCAGCACTGAGGATGCAGAGGAGCAAGCCCCTCCAGTCGAGGAGTGTGCAGACCAGTGAGCGGGACAAGCTATATGCGCACTGCCTCCGAATAGACTGTCTTCCGATTCCTCCCACCCCCAGAAAGCGAAGCTGGGCACACAGACTGATGCATCTTTCTTGAACTGATGTAATGAAAGCCCTATCGCTTTATTTCAGGAAAGCCTTGATCTTATCAATATCACCGTTAGCAGCTTGCTTGTAATTATCTTGATTTTTGTCACAGTTTGATGGGAAAATGACTGATTTGAGAAGCAAAATCAGAAACACAGGAATATCAAGCAGGCTCAATCCAGAGACTCATTCTATGTAATATCATTACTGGTAATCTGACATAATAGAAGGAAGAATATTCTAATCCAATCTGCAAGTGGGACTAAATTAGGGCTTCTCTAAGGTACCGGAGGTTTGGAATACCATTTTAGGAGATCTCCAAAAATGAGGGTGAAGGGAATTATTGCAGAAAGAGGGTGACATTCCATATAGCCAGGACAGAGGAGTCAAAACAAAAGTAACCGAACAAGGGGTGAGGATGGCAGGAAAAGATCCAAGAATTGTTTATCACAAACCAAATACTGGGTTTCAGTTCTTCAAGATCCTGGCTCTGAAGTTGGAGCCCAAATCCCATCTGGCCAATCAACCTGTTTACTGGAAAGAGCACCTGGACCTTGCCCTCCCAGCTCTGTGCACCCAGGCCTCCGGGCAGCGCTCTCTCTCTGCCTCGGCTTCCAGGGCAGTGATGACAGAAACACAGGCGGGAGGCTGGGGAGAGGGGAGAGGGGGAGGGTCACCACATCCTGGAAAGCTTTACCCCCTCCCCAATCCTGTCTGCCCGGAGCGACAAGCACCCACCCCTATGTTCAAGTCTGCTATTGGAAAAGGCTCTGAGACCTTTCTTTTCTTCCTTTCCCTCGCAGAGTTGGCCTGTTGAGAAAGTCTGCCCACAAACTTTTGTCTGGCTCTAGCTCCTCCTCAGTAGTCCCTGGACTACACCCCAAGCCAATTAGGAGAAAGGGAGCTGCGAACCCAGTTCGGGATCCTGGATGGGGGCGGGGCGGCGGGGCGGTGAATCCGGGAGTTAGCAAGTAATAGTCTCTTCCGGCCCTGGTCAGGGTAGGCCAGGGAAGTAGTGACCCTCAAGTGCCGAGCCCAGGACTCCAGGAAGCAAGACACACGTACATTCACAGACAACATATACTCACACACACTTCCACATGCACACCCATCTTCACACCCACAGACACACGGGGGAGCGGAGACCTAGCACCTCCGCCTCTGCGCGGTGCGGGGTTAAATGCACGTAGTTCTGCTGCACATCTGGCCACCGAGCTCTACTAGGCCAGAAGCAGCCGCTTTGTGCTGAAGGGAAGGGTCGTACCTCCTGTCCGCTGCAAGGGAAAGAGGTCGTTCGCGGAGCCGGCTCCTCCCCGGCCACTCTCTTTCTGCCGCCCTCGGCCCTGCGCGGTATGGGCTTCGCAGGAGACCCGGCTCCGGGAGCGCACGCGGGACAGGCGGGCGAGCTCACTCCTACATCCCAGGGGGGCACGGTCCCGCGAGCGCTAAGGACCCGCCCGCAGCTTTGGACACGTGAGCTGGCGGAAGTGAGAAGAGGGCTGCTGCCCCCCTGTAGGGGCAGCGAAAGAGGGTAGAATGATTAGAGCTTTTTCTGCAAAACTTTGATCTTGACATTTGCGAAAGGAGGAGGCCCACCCAGCTCAGCGCTCCAGGAGAGCTCGAGATAGGGATTGAGGGAGACGGAGGAGGGAACTGGAGCGAGCCTGGAGACTGGCAGGGAGGGGCGGGACAGGGAGGAGGAATAACGCTAAAAAAAACGGGCAGCGTCTCAGAATTGTAGAAGTGGGAAGGGCTTTAGGAATCTTTTCATGTGGTCCTCTCCACACCACCTGCTGCCTATGAGGAAACTGAGTCTCCAGGAGGTGAACTTGTGGATCCATAATCACAAAGGGATGAGATGAATACATACATTTTAAAGCAGTTTCTTGCTGAAGTGGGAGTGAGGGGAGGGCACAGAAGCACGATGGTGTCTTGAGCCAAAGCTAAGTAAGCTCTTCTCATGACCCTCAGGCAGTAATGGTGGGATTGGAGGAGGTGTCCCCTCCCATCCCAAGCCTGGTACTTCCTGTGGAGTCCTGTCTCTGCCCTGCTGAAACATAAACTGATGGTGCCTCTCTTAGTGGATGGGCAGCACGATCCTACTCATCCTCTCCCCACCAGCAGACAGGTAGGACCATGCTCCCACCCATTTCCCACAAAAACAAACTGAGGCCTTTAAGGGAAAGAGAAAGTTTGAACCCAGAATCAGCCCTCAGTGCAAGTCTCTGTGCATCTTGCACAAGCTTTGGACCCTTGAGGGGGACCATAGTCCCCCATGGTCCCAGGCGAGAACGCTGGAGTTTCATGACAAGCAAGGTTTGGGGATGAATTCTGGGTTGTCCTGATTTCTCCCCACAAAAATGCGTAGAGTCTGCAGACACAGTCCCTGGTGGGAAGGGGCTGGTTTGAGAGGGGGACATGGAGGGCTGCTGCGGCAGGCAGGGCCGCATGTCCTAGGAATTAGTAGTCCACTAAATCAAGGTCCTCTGGGCGAGGGATGTGAGCTGGAAGCAAGGCCCTCACCAGAAGTCAGACTGCGGAGAAGTGCATATGAAAGCCCTGAGTTTCCAGGGCTCCTACAGGCCCCGGGAGAGTCTGGTTTGGTGATCCCTGGAAGTAACAGTCCCTTTATGGGTTCTCACCTCTGAGACCCAGCACCTGCCCCTCTTTCAGGGACCCACAACCGCCCAGCTCCTCTTGTGAATAAGGACCCCTGCGCCACCCCTAGGGCTGCCCCTGCCTGCTGTGCCTCTCAGGTTACTGCGCCTTCGCCCAGCCCATTATTCGGTGGGGCCGAGAGGGCAGGGGATCCTCGGGTTGAGGTGGGGCAGAGTCTCCCAGCCACCATGGCACATAGGGACTGTGGCCTGGGGTGGCGGTGGGGGCACCTAACTCCAGGAGGCCCTAGGCCACCTCGCCCAGGCAAGGACAATCAGCAAGCAGCCTGGCTCCTCCAGCCTAACTGTGGCTTTTCCTACTACCCCTCCCCGCCAACAGAACCCCTGGGGAGAAGGATCCTTCCCGAGTCACAGCAGTTCCTCTCCTGTGATTTGTTCTGAATTTTCAAACAAAGAGTAATTACAACAGATGTGGAGCAATCAGCATCATTATTCTGGGAAACTAGAAAGGGAAAGGGAGCTGAGGGGGCCCCAGGGGGAGGGTAACTAGTCTTCCCTCCTGGGAGAGAAGCAACTCCCACCTCCACCTCCAGCAGCCCCAGCACCCTCCCTCCCAATTCCCTTTCCTGACAGCCTCACAGGTAGGGCAAGACTCCACAGCCCAGCGTCCCAGCCCAGCTGGCCCTCCAGAGTCTCCAAGGGCCTCAGTAGTGCCTGGGGATAATGGGGGGCGAGGGGGGGGCGGGTAGCCCTGCCTGGCCTGCCCAGAAGTGGCTCCCACTTTGGCAGAGTTCTAAGCTGTTCTCTACTCCCAACACTCCCCCACCTCAACCCTGCACATACCCATGTATCTGCCTCTGTTTCTGAGGCATTAGTACTGATTATGTTCTCAAAGGGCTCCAGCCCCTTCTCAGGAGCTCCAGCCATTGAATTTTGGGTCAGGCAGACCTGGGTTTAAATCCCAGTTCATCTACATACTCTGTACCCTTGGGCAAGTTAATTAATCATTCTGGGCTTCTGTTTACTCATTTGTAAAATAAGACTAGTAATACCTATTAGTGGAATTGTGGGAATTAACTAAATTAATACATAAAGATCTTAAGACAGTGTAGCTCCATAAATAAATACTAGGACGGCTTCTACAACTACGAGTTAGTCCACCACCAGCACCAACACACAGGTGGCCCTCACACCACTCAGCTCAGCATCCAGGGTGCCTGGGAAACTCAGAGACCCTCTGTCGTGGGTGACAGGAGCCCCCACCCAAGGTTTGCTGGTTAAAACTCACACCCAGAACTGCAACCACTGACAAAGCCTGGGCACAGCAGGACCCAAGAAAAACAGAAATGTGCCTGCCAGCCTGCTCTGGGAAACACAAAAGGATACTCCCTTTTCCAACCAGAGAGAAGGGAAGCTCGAGGGGCCCAAGTGGCTCGCTTACCTGCCCAGGCTGGGAGACCAGCCAGGCTTCGGCAGGTTACCTTGTCAGGGCCTCAGTTTTTGAGTCTGTAAAATGAGAAGATCGGACTGGAAGAGCTCCAAGGTCTCTCTCACAGCTCTGGATGCCCGGGATTCGACCTGGAGGCTGGGAAGACCTCCAAGGTCCTGCGTGGACTGGGAATTTCAGGATGCTTTTGTTGCAGCCTGCAATTCAGTGACAGGGCTGGAACTTGGTCCTCTCTGCCGGTGGTCTGTCCCCTCCTCCCCATTGAGGTGGTCTGGTCTCCATCTGCCCACCCCAAGTCCCTGGGGCCTCTTGCTTGTTCCCCCTCACATTCCAATGGCCTTGGGGGCAGCAGCCAGACCAGAAAGTCCAGTTCCTGCCCATTATCACTGCTCACATCTGCACTGCAACCCAACACCAGCATTCCAGAGAGCTGCCCCCACCACCCACTGTGGTCAGTGTCCAGGCTCAGAGACAGGCACCAAGCAGGGGCCAGTGTTCTCAGATTCCTCTTGGTGAAGGTCTGCCCCCCGGGGAGGCTTCGACTTGCTGGGGAGGCAGGGTCCCCTTCCTCTGGGGTCCTCTATGAACCTGACGCTCTCTGCCTTTTCCCTGTCTCTTTGCTCTGTGCTGAGGTCTGAGCTCACCTACTTTGCTCCTGAAACAGAAAGGTCTCCCTCCAAGCGCAGCAGAGGATGACGGACCCAGAAATCAGCACAAAGGGAGAAAGAGGCAGGAAGAAGGAAAAGACAACAGAAAGAGAGGAGCTGGAGAAAGGAAGACAGTGGGCAAGAGAAACTAGGGATACAGGATGATAGTCAAAGACCCAAACGTGGTCTCACAGGAAGGCAGAGGTGAGTAAGGGGCAGCATATGTGGGGTGTCGAAGAGCACTGAGACCCAGATCAAGAGAAGAGATGGAGAAGGGTGAGCGGGAGGTAACGGCTGGGATGTGAGCCGTTGGCATGGAATTCTCCCACTGCCGGAATCAGGTGGCTGGC